ATCCATATTTTTTCAACAGATATTTTAATTGAACACCTTCAATTTACTAAGCAGTGTTTTACATACTTGACCCAAAGTAAGCAAAATAAAATCTTTGCCCACATGGAGCTTACACTATAGTAGAGATCAGAGTGTTAGTTTTTAGCCCAGATTGCCACATAGCTAGACCCACAGTGTTTTGAGGTCTTTACTCCTAAGCTGTTTTCTTATTCACGATCTATTTTCGTTTGTTTGTTTGTTTATTGAGACAGGGTCTCCCTGTAGCCCCAGCTGTCCTGGAACTCTCTCTGTAGACCAGGCTGGCCTTGAACTCACAGAGATCTGCCTGCCTCTGCCTCCCGAGTGCTGGGATTAAAGGTGTGCACCACCACGCTGGGCATTCAGGATCTGTATTGCCACCACATCTACAACTGATGCAGACTCTTCTCCTAGGTGCCCATCTATGTAGCTGTATTGTTTCTCCTCACTATTTGCTGCTGTTTAATATTTAAATGTGTCTCTGCTTGACATTATAGGTGCATAGAAATATTTATTAAATTATAAGTGAAATATATATTTCCAGATATGATAACAGCTATCCAAACAAAAAATGAAGTTGGACTCATTCATGAAGCATATGCCAAAATATGTGCCTCAGTTTGTATCAGCTCCTCAGTTTTCTTCTCATAAAACATGTATATTGTTTAGTTTGCAAGATGCTGCTACCTTTATATGCCAAAAGTTATTAAATAGCTGCAGTTTCCTATGGTTTGAACTAAGGTACTAGTCAGTCTGAAATATGTTTAAAATTATAGTAGCTAAAGAATGCTTTGTAAAAGAAATTATGACATGAGAAAACTGGAAAATAATCGTATAAACTAATGAAATTATCCACTCCCTTATGTGTCTGAAAATTTTTTTATATGTAATTTACATTGAAAGGCCAGGTGTATAATGAAAAGTGCCCAATTTTCACAGAGACATTTTATGAGATTCTCAACAAATTGAGTGATCATCATCTCAAGTCACAGAGGTGAGATAATCATCTTCTCTATCAGTGCTGGAGACCTTATGTGTCATGTACATTGCATTTATTATCTGTGATTCTTAGAATAATATTGAAAAGTAAAAATTGAAAACCTTTTTATTACAAATAAGAAAACATAGGTGCAGAGAAATCATGAAACTTGTCACATATCACAGGTGAGATCAAAATATCTGCCTCGTCTGACTGTATCTAAAGGCTATCTACAGTCTCTTTTGTTATGTTCTATAGAGCTGCTGTTGAAAGGAATTTTTAGGCTTGGGCTTTTTTATTTCTTATCTTGACATTTGTAGAAGTTATTTATTCTTAGGTAGCAAAATAATAGTATCTCATAACTTTGTAATTTGAGGCGTGTGATAATTTTACAATTCTGAGGTTGTGTTACCTCATTTTTTGTTTGTTGTTATTATTATTATTATTGGTCTTTTTTTGAGACAGGGTCTCCTGTAGCCCCACCTGGCCTGGAAATTCCTATATAGACTAGACTGGCCTCCATCTCACAGAGATCCACCTGCCTCTGCCTCCCAAGTGCTGGGACTAAAGGCATGCACCACCATATACAGCTCATTTTTTAAATGTAAACTTCTTTTGAAAGGAAGAAAATACTAAGCTACTCTCATTTCTTTCTTTTTTAACAAAATCTAGTAATATTTTTTTTTGTTGCTTTGAGTTTTGAGATAGTCTCCCTGTAGTCCCAGCTGGCTTGGAACACTATATAGACCAGGCTTGACCTTGATTTCAGAGAGCTCTACCTCTGTGAGTGCTGAGATTAAAGGTGTGTGCCACCACACCTGGCACCAGAGTAGCTCTTGAGTTACAATGAAATTAAGTTAGAAATTAAAAACAGAAATCTACCAAATCCCTCAGGTATTTCTAAGTATCTTATAGGTTAAGGACCTTAGAAAATATTTTTTAAGATTTATTTATTTGTAATTGTGTGTGTGTATGTGTATGTGTATATGCCTCTGTGTGTGTGTGTGTGTGTGTGTGTGTGTGTGTGTGTGTCTGTCTGTCTGTCTGTCTGTACACATGGGTTTGTGCACTTGTAAGGAGAGGTACCCTGGGTTGCTAGAAGAAGGTATTGGATCCCCTGGGGCAGGAGTTCCAGTTGGTTGTGACCTGCCCCATGTGGGCTCTGGGAACTGAAGTTGGGTCCTCTATAAGAGTGATACATGCTGTTCATTACTGAGCCATCCCTCAAGACCCCAAAAAATAGGCTTATTTGATTGAAAGATTCGAGTAGAACAGCTGAAGCAATATTAAAATACTTTGTAGTGTGGAGAAGAGATCCACACTCAAGAATCCGCGCTTCACCCTCAAAAAGCAAAGAGATCTACGTACTTTACATAGAGAAGGAGGAAGAAATTTGAAAATAAAGCCAAATAAAAAAGTAGTAAGTAAAATATGGTGTAATAGTCCTACCCAAAGAAGTAATAAAATAATATATCCTGAGAACCAAGAAACAATTACTTAGCATAAAGAAGAGGCAAACCAAGGGATATTTCATACTGTTACATTATATTTGGATTTGCTACACTCTTCAAAGGCTTGTGTGTTCAGGGCTTGGTGTCCAGACCACTGGGGTGTTGGGAGGTGATGGAACTT